TTTGCTCACTCGCCACTAGTGCAGCTCTGTTTACGTGGGAAGACTGGCTCATATCTAGGCGCTCTCAGCAAACTTTCGTTAATACGTGGAAAGTATGTTGGTTAAACTTACTTCCTCGCATCGCATCATAAAATGTAGGTTTTCCTCTTTCAAATGAATATAATTTCTTCATGGTTAAAGGCGAATAATTATGTGCACTTTTTCATTGAAAAACGGGTAACTCAGTGAAAATTTCGCGTTTCCTATGGAGGTCATGGCACATTTCCCTGATTTTTGAGGGTGCGGGTTTACTTCTTCGAACAGCACACGTGTGAACCCGGTCGCATACAATTACCTCGCACGGTTTCTGAAAGATAACACAATAAGCTTTCCATTCATGTAACAACCGTTTTGATTGGTTGAGAAGAACAAGGGGCACTTTTCTTGTCAAATCAGACATCGCTTTTGTTCTGAGGATCGACCTGTGCTGTTTATGTATAGTCCGGTCAACGCAGTGGGGCTGTGCAGGTCGCCGGGTCAATACACCGTTGTGTGTGACCGCAGAGCATGCAGGGCTTTGATTTTCTGCACATATGGGTGGCAAAGTTCTCCATATGTGAATGAAGATTTTAAACGATCCTTTCTTAATCATATAGCTTTTTACAGCTGATAGGCATACTCTCATTTGGTTCATATAAAGAACATAACTTGCATTTTCAGCAGCAATAACAATTCATTGATCTCATAATTTTGATATTCGAGACATTTTAATGAAAAAAATGATATCTTTGTAGCGACTGAGTTGAACTCTCAATGTTTGCATTTATTTCCATCGTTCTTTGTCTGTAGACACACTGCCAGTAATTGCATCAAAGGCACCTTTTCATTTCAAGTGTAAAAATAACTAAACATTTTCAATTTCTTTTTCCTACAAGTTACATGGTGTAAAAATGAAAATCTGTTAAATTTTTATTAAGTACAGTGATCAAAGTGTTCAATGGTTTTCTTAACACTTTTTTACATGATAAATAAATGTCATTTGACCCACAACTACACAAGCTGAAAAAGATTGAAATGTAATCTGGTAAAACTACATGTAAATTTATGGAATATTCTACACACATAATAATATTATCAGTGACCAGTTATTTTGTTAAGAGGGCCTACCATCACTTTTTTCAATTTATACTAAGAAATAATTAAATATAACACAAATATTACAGCCTACAGGTAAAGGAAACCATGCAAAGCCAATGCCTAGATAGCCTACACTTTTGATGTCACTGACCCACATGTTTTGACTGCTGTAATTGTTTACAAAATCTATAAAATTAATCTTGTCTCTCCAAAAGCTGCCACCTGATTAAAGAATTACGTAATCCACTCTAGAGGTACTGGTGGGAATGTAAAGAATGTAAAGCGCTAATCCCGTTGTGGGTAAACATTGACGACCCTTCATCGATTTTGTCCTTAGCTGACCCGCTATGTCAACCCACACAAAAACATAACGGACCACGAGCAAGCAGACGATACCGAGTGCGGGCGGGCGACCATATACAAAAGTACACACAAAAAATTATATACGAAATGTGAAGTGCACGAAATTCCCCTTCCATAAAAACACAACCAAAAACTTACCTTCAACAGTGTCTGACACTGTTTTCTGGCGGTTTCTGACACACTGACAGCGGCCTAGAGGACTCGTACAGTCGTGGACGACTTCGCAGGCAAACTCTGCGGGCAGTTCGTGGCGATTTTTTAAGCAGAAATGCGGCTTTTTTTTGAGCAAAACACGAGAGCTATGTATGCGTGCACTAACGTTAACTACACGCACATGCAGTTAGTACGGCTGTGTGCATGGTGCACTCTCCAAAAACGCCTCCATGCAACCAGCGGATAGGTGACTAGGGATTGGGAACACGACGCATGCGTACGGCGCGCGGTAGCAGCAGGTTGATATTTTTCGCTTAAAGGGGTACTTTGGGTTTTTATTTAAAAACTTTGGGTTTTAAATTTAAAAAAAATAAAAATAATAACTATTATCGTAAAATATTATCATAAAATATATGGCACTAAAAAAAGTATTAAAAATTAATAATTTCTCTCAACTTCAAGCAAAGTGCAAGTTGCCTTTAAAATTACCCAAGCAAGCATTATTGATATCAAAATGGACTAAACTAGTCAGTTTTGCAGGAACACCACGTGGGAAAATGTGTGGTTTGTGAAAAGAACTGGTGGCTTCAAGGTAAAACTCGACGTTCCGATCAGTATGATGCTCTGATCGTCTCTGTAGTTTTCTTTTTACAGCCTTCATGAGGATAATTGTTTTGTTGCATTTTCTGGTTTGTTTTACAATGTGAGCTCCCAACTGCTTGTACACAAAACATATTCTGTCATGTGAAAGAAGACAAAAATGTGTTCATTTTTTTTGGGGGGGGGGGGGTTGAGCCAGCATGGTTGTTAACAGCATGGTTGTGTTCTAATGTTCACCCCCCCCCCTCCCACAAATAAAAATAATCACATTTGTAAAAATCAAATTTGTGAAATTGGGGTGGGAGTGGGGATACCCCTTTATGCCTAAAACCAGCTAGCTTTGTCAATAATTTATACTAGAGCATTTTTTACCCAGAATTTGATCCTCAAACAGGTTTTATTCATCAAAAAAGGGGGAAATATGGGGCTTGTTAAATATCAAATCCCTGCCGCATACTACACCTGTTTAAAATAGTTGTAAAATGCCACCCTTTGACCACTTAATCCACCATTTGAAGATAACATTTTTAACTTTTATGAAATAACGACACAGGATCACACAACTTAACATCCTCTCACCAATTTTATAATCAGTATTGATCACATCGAAAATAATCCACCAGAAGTAGACATAATATCATTTACAATACATTTTCTTGCAGCGTTAACATAAAAATAAGCTCCATTGCAACAAACTCTATTATATACAATTTGATATCTGTAGCACTTGATTTTAAGGCTAGTACACAAACTACTGATCTGAGTACCTTTGATTTTGATAATCATCTAAAACCAAGTTTATAATATAAAACATATAGCCAAAAATACTATCCTTTTAATATGTAGTAAAATCAGCTGATTTTGTAATTTGTACAAAAAATGATACATGGTTTTTTTTTAAAGAGTGATACAAGAAATTACTTTGTGAAAATGTGCTATGTGCTAAGACATGTGATTGAATAGGGCCCATGCCAGAGAGTTGCTGATGCATCAATGCGCTAAGCAGAACAACCAAAACTTACTATCAGCTGACTGGTACCAAATTGATATTTTTGCTAAGTGATTGTTGAAGGGCTTTAGGCATATAGGATCATTTGCTGTTCACGCATTTTTTTTTTAATATCACCACTAAAAATCCAAACAAGAATCTTCAAAACCTAACCTGTTGAAGTTCCAGCTCAGTGATATTACACTTTTTGAGAAAACAGTAAAATCAACAAGCACAACCTTTTGATCACGAAACACTATTTTGTCAAAGCACTCTTTATTTCCAAGAATCAGTCAATTGACAGATCGTTGGAAATCATCTACATTTCTTGATTTCTTTTAAATGATACTAGTAAGCCAGATGGAATAATTTAACGGGGTGTTTGGTACCAGTAGAATCTTAATTCCAAGTAAGCTTTTGATAATAATTGGGCAGGTTACTCTGAGTTATTATGTAAATGATCCCGTACGCCTTTAATATTTATGCTTCGCTCATTTTCTGCAATTTGAAGCTCTCTGAAATTGGCCCAGAAAGTACCAAAAAATATCTCATGTGCAAGTTTCTCTGAAGGCAGATTTGTGCATATTGATTGATCATTATAAGAATGTGTCGCTCGTAAAGTGAGCATTTAAAAAAAGAGTGCAAAAATCTTATCACAATCATCACACAAGTGTTCAATAAAATCATAGGCACAAAAAGTGTTTGAATGTGACTTTTGAAAGAGCTTTGTTTAGGGGAGGGGCATACATGTAAACGCAAAAGAGGTTGTGGTTTGATACAACTAAAAGGGGTGGGATTTCAAAATAAAATCTTTTTTTTTACAGTGAACTACCAACAAAACTGGGCAGGCAAATAGGAAACAGCACAGTACAGTGCTTGTAAAATAACATCAGTGGAGGACACAACTCAAAATTGAGGCGATTGTGAAGTCACAGGTCCCTATTTTACTAGTTTTTGGTCAAATTAGAATCAAGAGTGTTTTCTTATCATTCAAAAATGATTTCTGCAGCCTAAAGCAGACTTATTGCTTTATCCCGAAATTTCCCTCAGAAAATCAAAACCCTGCCCTCTATCTACAACACTCCTGTTGGTTTTAAATGTCACTAACTAGTTTGGTATGTCCAATAATTTAAAAGTAGATTTTTGTTCTCTTATAAGAACAGGGATTGTTACTACACAATTGCCAAAATTGAAATGGAGAGTTTTTATGAAAGGGGAATGGAAGGGTGTGTGTAAGAGGTACACCCTTCGTTAGCTTCACTACTGTTGCACTATTTCAAGCGTTTCTCATGACTCTTTCAAGCTCCGTGCTTAACTCCAGTTTGACAGATCTCTTACACAGTCCTGCGATAAGTACACACGCATGTTGCCGCCACAGTGTGTACATAAGAAGCGACATCTTGTCGCCAGACTAACTAACCTACTAAAACTGACTAAACATCAATTCGTCTCTGACTTGTACAACCCTCCATCTAACCTATGAATCTTTCTTAATGAGAAAAGAGGATCTTTTTTTCAACAGTTAAAAAGTGGTTGGAAAACTTTTTGGGTATTTTCAAAATTTAAATCACAACCTTGATCTTGTTAAGTACTTTACCCCTTTACAATATGACTTTTATTTAATTTAAAATATCTACAAAACAGTCTAACTTTTATCTTTAAATGTTGTATATTTTTGAACTGCAGAAGTCTTCTTTCAATGAATAAAAAAAGAACAGTTTATGGTGGTCGAATGCAATTAAGAGGAATCAAATTTTAAAGGAAAAGCACTGAAACATGATTGCACACCATACAACTTTAACTGAACTTCTGCCATATACCTATGCACTATTTGCATTTTGCCTCATATTTTAACTTTATTAGACTGGAAATAATCAATTTGAGGTGTTTTTCACTTTAAAAACATCATTGAAATTCCATCTTTGTCATAAAATTAAGTCAAATTGTTACAAAAGCAGTTAACAATAGGATAAAACAGGTTTAACACAATGACATGGGGGATATTTGGTTGGTAAGATATAAAAATAAACAAAAAAACCTTCAAATGCGTCTTATTCTGATGAAGAAAACTACCAGACAACATCTTGAATTCAACAGGCACTTTTGAGAGGCTTCGCCAAATAAAACATGCTGAAAGAGCTCTTACCGTGAACGGAATGCAAAATTAAATTTGAAAGCATCAATTGAGAATAGCAGCACAGTGAATCAAGGCAAATGAAAAAAAAGTACTGATAAATAAACACAAACAAATTCTAAAATCTAATTCAACACACAATTAAGTATTCCACACGGTGAAAAGCTGATAAGGCATTGACTGATTACCATTCACTGTGAGTAGGTAATTTGTTAAAAGTACCAAAAAGGCACATATTTTATATCAAATGATCCTTTAATAAGCCTTTCGGTGACACTTTTAGGCACAAAGTTGTGGCTTAGGACAAGCTACGTTAGTGGAAAAATCCTTGATGAAAATGCCTCAAAATTCCTTGCCAAGTTAAAAATAGGCTTGAAATAATCACACGCTTAACACTCAACAATAAAGCTAAACAGAAAGATGAGATTGGCACTTGTTTCTTCAATTCATTATGGGTCAAGTGTTTTGAAAAAAAATGGACATTAAGCATACATCACAGTTTTTTACTTTGAAGAGTTATAACACAATAATAAAAATACTATACTTTTCTTTTGTTGAATATGTTGCAAATGTTTGCATCTATTCAACTGACCATGCTCTTTCTTGGTAAAGTAAATAAATTTTCCGCTCTTTTATAAAAACAAATCCTGCAAAGCCATTCTTCATACACAAGTACTGCAATCAAATCACATTTCCCGAAAAAAAAACTACAATTCTTTGGTCCCTTTCTTTGGTTATTTCTACTCCAATCCAAACTTTCTACAAATCTACCACAATAGAGATAATCGTGGGTACCCCAATGCCACAAAATATTTCTTGTCGATAAAAACAGTGAAATCAAGTGATTCTGAGATGGCATGGCTGAGCTTGATTCTGAAATTAATGATCCAATCTATATTAGCCGTCTCGTAAATAAACTTCAAAAAGTATCGGTTAAACTTGAATGAACTTAGTTTCTGCAATCCAAAACCTGCATATTTCCCCGGGCTAAAGATGAGTTCTTCCGCAGGGGTGAGATAAGGACAAATCCACAAAATAATTGGCAGAGGATTGGAGGGTCACCGAGAGCCCCAGAGCAACGTAGGATCTATGGTATATGTTTGTTTAAATTTGCCTAAAACACCCCTAAAATGCCCATTTCATTTGTTTTATATCAACCTTTACAGGTAAACCTACTTTTAAGGTAAAACCTCAGGAATTCCAGATTTGAAATAGGGATTCATAACAAAAAACCCAGATACGAGGAAAATCCAAACAAAACAACCTGATATCAGGAACAATCTTGACAAACCTCACCCCAGCTTGAGTGGGATTTTACTGCCAAGATGAAGGTCCTTGTTGAAATTTTACAGATTCTTCTTCCCGTTAGGCTACAAATTCAGAGTAGGTTTTTTGGGGCTGCATAACCTAACAGTTATGACATGGACAGTTCCAACAATTCTAAACAGAACTCAAGAACTTAACCTTTGGCAATAAAAAAAAAATTCTGTTTCACTTCTGCAAAGCCGTTTTGTAAAAAAAAATTAAATTTTTTTTTTGCAGTATTAATTAAAGCTTTTGCTGGGCCTAATAGGCCAGCCTACAGTCCCCTTGACTGACGGAGTCACGGACTGAATGACTGACTGACTCCCCGACTGAGTATAAATGACTGAGTTAGTGACCAACTGAGTATACATATAAATACTGTTCTGAACTGAGACAGCCGTATTTGCATATTTTGGCAATCATTATTTGGAGTCGGTACGCTTTCGACTTTACAAAACCGTTATTGGAGTTGTCTTGGAGGTCTGGTCCTCTTCGCTCTGATAGGCCAGCTTGTAGGTGCCCAGGCTTAGGCCGCCCTCGTCCACCGCGTCTGTCGCGACCTCCCCCTCGAAGGCTGGGTTCAACCTCCCACGGCCGTTGAACTCAACCGGCTTCTTTGGGGTCCATTGCTTCGGTTTGCTTGGCTGTTGTCTTGGCTGTTTTGTTGGCTTTTTTTTAATGAAAGGGGTTGAAAAGAAAGAAAAATCCATCATTCCAAATAATAATGAAGAACTTTGAAGTAATCCAGCACTTTGAAGTTTGATGAGGTTGTTACCGAATAAAACCAAAAAGTCTGCATGTGGTTGTATCCGACTACCAGCTATTTCTGATTTGGTATTACAACACAACATCATTATTAGCTGGTTCCTTGGTCATTATTTTTTTTGGATAGAAAGAAATTTCAGAAAGAAATTTTAACCTTGCAATTGATTTTTTGAATATTATTTGATGTTTGGTGATTGTCCAAAACTTCAGACAGCAGAATTTGTTGAATGTTATGATGCAATAACATGCAAATTCCCAAGCAATGATAATGATTGATAGAACAATGTGCGGACTGAGAATGAATGAGATGGCTGAAAATTCACAATGCATTTCAAACGATAACTACGCAAAATGTTTTTTTTAATGATGCAATGGTATCAGAGTGGCATGAATGAAATAAAAGTTCCCTAAATTTGCCGAGTTCAAATCAACACTTCCTAAAAAAGAAAATCAGCAAAACTCATTCTATAAATTTAGCATGGATTAGCCATCTTTGTCTTGTTCTCTACCACACACAGATAATCCCTATGCACAAGAACATAATGTGCCAGGCACCAGACTATTTTCAGAAAATAGTCTTGTAGAGTCCAAGGTACAGAGATGGTTACTAAAATGCCATAACTTTTCCTGCAGAGAAAAAAAGGTTAGTAAAAGACACAGGCAAGCCTTTGAAAGCTGTGTGAGAAATAAGCAAACACATGAATTTCATGCCCATTAAATCAACTTGTTAATTGAAGCATTCTTAATTGCAGAACAGAACAGACAGGTCATTTATTTTTGGGTTGTGAAAGCCAATAAGCAATGGTGGATATTTTTTAAAGATAAAAGAATTATACTTTAGTTGAGGAAAAAGTCAGAAATAAATGTTATAAACTTCTTTGGTTAGGAGTTGTAACTGCAATGTATAGAAAGTCATCTTTTGTAGAAGATGAAAGCGTACAGGATAGTATTTTCTCAAGAAATATCAAGACAATCTACGTATTGTATGTGTTGTATTCTATAAAATAAATGTGCCAATATGCTATAAAAAAGTAATTAAATCAATTTGTAGCATTTCTCAAAATGAACCCACTGCAGAGCTGAGCCTAACAATACAGTTGTAATCGGTCCTTTGTTTATATCCTGAGCAGAACTCTATAAGTAAATTTTAAACAAAAAAAATGACAAATAAAATATATTGCTTCACAGAGGACATAACATACTAAACCACAATAAATTATTAAACTCCACACATAAAGTTTACGTAGTTCTTTTTCAAATACAATTGTCTTTGCCAGCCATCATGTGTTTGTTTATAGGAATACAAATAATATGTTGTCCCCAGAATAAAACAGTAACATGCACAATTCCTAGTCAAACAACATGCTAAATTAGTGGCAGTTACAGTAATTAACATCCACAGTGTGAACAGCTGCAGTTGGCCGAGCGAAATCATAGCCTTCAATACAAACTTTGCATACATTTTTTTAAAAAAATGTACCGTACTTGGCAAAATTAAAAACTGCGCAACATGCACTATTAATAAAATCAAAGGGGCTAGGGGGCTAAAAGCCCCTAATACTCTGAGATAGATCAACAACTTCATTTATCCCTCCCCATTTTAGGCAACATTCACACACAATAAGAAAGATTCTAAATTTCCATATTTTTTTTTCATCTTGCCACAAAATATTTATAACAGTACAATACCTAACAATTAACCCATTAGGACCTGTGCTATAATTACATAGCATTTATTTCCTGCAAATCCATAAACCCATAGAGGGCTCGGGCGGTTTTGGGCAGTACAGCGAGTTGCAGACGGGGCAATTTCAGGCGGGTTTCAGAACAAATGGGTTAATAACAAAGTTAAATAGTATATTTTAATTGATACTGTTTAACACATGCGGATTTAACTCGAGTCAAGCATAAAACTGACGCATTGACAATGTGCACAACATGCTTGAACCGTGGTCCTACATACCTCCTCCACCCCAGGGCTTACACTCCGATCTTGTTCAAGTAGAGTGTGCACGGTGGCTTCAGGTGACGGTGAGGACGAGTCTATTTGTAGTACGCAATCAATCAAGCAATTCGTCATTCAGTTTCATTTTCACAAGAATTTCTTTCAAACAACTGCGTACTTTGGGTGAGCGTCACAAAATACACGACAAGGGTGCTTTAGTTCTACATAACTACACAAAAGCTTCTGACACACACACAAACTGTTCTTACAATTTTTTAATGATAAGACTGCAATTGGGAACTAAATATTGCACAAACGCTACTTTAGAAGGTGAAACATCTGCAAATCTGGAAGCTATGACAAGATTTGAACAAGTATTGCAGCGACAAGGAACGACTTGACAGAAAATGTCCTCTACAGATCCGACAGAAAATCCAACTTGTCCTTTTCCTCAGAATTTGGCACCATCACACGTGAGGGGTGGCAATATTTTTCCATCACAGGTAATCCTTCTGAAAACAACTCCAAAATTTCTACCCAATTGTCTACATTATTCACCAAAATTTTTACAGGACGAGAATGACCCTTTGAATCAAATATATTAAATGATTTCTAGTTTTTGTTGGTTTTGCAGCCAATGGCAAAATCATCATGAAGACACATTCTTCCTTTCCCTCGCGTCTTTTTTTTTAAAACAAATGTGCTTAATTTACGCCCTGCAGAAAGAAAAACGACAAACTGAAGCAACAAAATTACAAAAGCCCAAGACTGTTAACACAAGTTCTACTGGTTAAAGGAGGACTATGTCTCAGGAAACAGAGATCTGCAACAACACTGCAATGACAATAGCACTGACTACTTGCCACTTGCCAGTGGCAAATTTCCAATAAAATGATCAGTTGGAAAAGTAACAATAATAATAAAGTATATTTATATAGCGCCATAATATGCCTAAAAAGACGCTCAAGGCACCAGAAAATAACGTTTTCTTTGTTCGACAAGGAAACATTTATAAGCATTTTATGAGAGATGTTTTCTTTTCAATACCATTCTTGATGTCCGTAGATTTGCTTCACAATATAGCAAACTTTTCAGCTAAGTATGATCAGCTGAAAATTCATCATTTTTTAAATTCCCCATTTAATAATTTAACAATTATTAAATGGACTTTAATAATTGTTAAATATATGTGCTAAAAAAACTAAATTTGATTTGGTGTTTCGGGGGGGGGGGGGGGGGGGCTACAGCGATACACAAAGACACATTATATTCAAATACGGCAAAGTGCAAGCAACATGCAGCTTACAATATAAACTTCTCAAAAAGCAACGTGCAACCATTGTACGTGTGCATACACAAAACACCAGCCACTGGTCTTGACAATTATCCACATTATTATTGATATAAAGGAAAAAGTGAATGAATTGTTCTGTATAATTGCTGGGCACCTCTGGAAAACAGTGTACCACTAAGAGATTTCCCCAGGGTTAATAAGAAATAAATAAATAAACTTAAACTTAAAGACTGAGAAAATGTTTGGTTCTTAAAAGAATGTGTGGGGGGTCAGTCAGTGTCATGTTAATTTGTAGCACAATGAATTTTGAAAATTGCGATATAATGGGTATCGCCAGGTAAATTTCAATCAGGTCCGGATGTGGGGGAGGGGGGTTGTAGGGAAGGGAGTGTGGGGGTTGGGGGTGGTGGGTGGGGGTAGTGGGAGGGGACAGGAGGGGGTGGGGGTGGTGGGAGTGGGCAGGGGGTGGGGGATGGGAGAGGTCAGAAGTCAGACTGGTCCAGAAGTAATTAGCCCAAAATAAATTTACCAGTTAGTGGGATTTGGGTGGGAAACCATTTCTGACACATGAGGGAGCTGTTCAATGTAAAATGGGACTGGACACGATCTGACATTAGGTGGCACCATTTTGCTCACACCCCCACTAGAGACTTCTGTTGATATTATAAGTTATAAAATGCCCACAAAGATGTAAAAAATAAATAGCTGGTAATAATATGTGGATAATTGCAAGACCAGACATGACAAGTGGGGGCGCTATACACCGACAGTGATCGTACCTAGAGCAGGGTTGCATATACCCACGTCCCCTGAATGGGAGTGGGCTAGGACCAGCCCTTCCGAGGGTTTGTAGTACAGGCATGCTAGGCTGGGCCAGCTATACATGCCAACTGCTGTCTGCTGATCAGATGCGTGCAGATGGAAGTAAAGGGAAAATAACAATGGAAAAATCCTCAATGTCAGAACACAAGCAACTTGGTCATTCCATAAATGTGGGGTCCAGACTACTAAGCATACGGTGCATCATAGAAAAACAAGTGATGTTATATTTCTGTAGGCCAAAGGGTTATCAGTTGACAAGAACTCAGCAGTTTTAACTTTTGTTGGAATCACAAAATTAGAGTTGGATAAAAAAAAGGTCCTATTTTTGGAGGTCATGATTAAAAAGATAATGTAAAGAATGACCTTTGAGGCAATTTTTGTTGGCAAACTGTAATGTGAATCAGGCTGTAAAGTAAATCCACGTGGCATGCTGTCATTTTGAAGAAAACAATGGGATTAGTATACATCAAACAGATCAGTCTTAAAGGGAATATACATCATTTGCTTTTGCTGTAATTTTCAGAAATGGATGGAATTGGGGGGTTGGAAATATCTAGCAAATATAGTTACACTGACTTTTTTGAGGTTTTGGGTTCGAAAATGCTATAAAAACCAAGAAAAACAATCATTTTCATGTAGTCTGGTTCCCTGACTCCATTTAAGAAGAAACAGAGCAGTTTACATATATTGGGGAATTGTAAGGTCAGGGAACCAGTCTAGCTGGCTTGTACCCGTTCATAGGTGTGTAATCGATTGCAAACAAGCGCGATGGTCAATTGGGGCCAGTATTTGAAAAAAAGCCAGTTTTTTCCAACGCTGGTCGGCCGATCAGCGTTGGAAAT